TTCTTGGGCATAATCTATGTTACTGTCGTTCACCATTATTAATTTGGATTCGCTGTTACTCATTAATTTAGTTTTCAATAAGTTCATTTGTAAACTGACCTCCGTTCATCTTGCGTTTTCATCGCATATCATTTGTTTTAGAGTTTCAGGCAAAGTAGCAAATAGATGATGATTAGTTGATGTAGCAAATAAATGATTAGACGAATAGTTTATGATTATAAAGTATTATCTCCATTATAAGAAGTAAAATCAGGAGAAAATTTCACGAAAAATCGAAATCTCTGGATAATCGAAATAATTTTGTGATTAAGAAGAGAGTTGAAAAAAACAAATAGGTTATAACAATCAGTACTACAAGATGGATTTTTGAATGATTGATGATTTCGGGCTCGTCAACTGCTAAGGTCATTAGTCCCGTAAATGTAGTGCATTTTCCCTCCGCTAGATGGGGAGATCCGGTGCCAACCCACCGTTGACTACCGGAATTTACAAGATGGATATATTAAGTAATTCACATACATTTATAAATAATGTATTTGTAATCGTGAAAATAATAGTTAAGTGTTTGGTTTCTTTGGTTTGTTTGCCATAATTCTTTATTAACTTCTTTCATTTCTGGGAACAATTCCAAACGCAGCCGATTATTGGATTCCAGGAACCGTGGATAATGGAGGACAACAATAAACATAAATATGCAAATATATTACGTTCGTGGTGTTTAATCAGTCATGTACTATAATCACTAGTCGTTGCTATGCATAATTAAAACAGCAGTTTATCAAATTGAAAAAATGTCCCGTTTTATTGTTGATGGCAAGAATGATTTGGCTGGAGTAAAAATTACCTTCAAAAATCAATTATTTTGTCTATACATTTTGCAGTAATCAGTTCATAAAAGTACTAATTCTCTTTCATGCGTGAGGAATAGGGTCAGTAGACACAGCCGCTTCTGACTACTCAGCGTATTGCAACTTTCGATTTTCAAAAATTAAGCCAATCACGCTAATTCAGCTAGAGTAGAAAATCCACCACCTTCTGGTCTCGAACACTAGAATCTCCTGGTCAAAACGCTGGAGTGGCAACAATTACTGACCTGAACCACCTGAGCCGGGAGGCAGTTGTTCAACAATTTTATGTTCTTTACTTCGGAACAACATGGTAAAGCGGTATATATATATATATATATATATATATA